TAACTTCCAAAGATGTAATAGCATCTGAAGTTAGACCAGATTCCCCTTGCAATGTTGCCCTGACTTGGGTTAACTCAGCCAAGGACCGAAGTCTATTATCCAACTAAATACATAGCAAGTGTAGCATCACTGCTTATGGCTTACCTTGGCTTCCTGAGCTGGTGATTTGAGAAAATAGAGCTGGAAGAGATCATAGGGACTGTTCCAAAGGCAGCCTTCAGCATTCCAACCACCATTGTATGCAGGGAATCATCCATGATGATGTGGGGGGTGTTGGAAAAGTCAAAGGAAAATTTTTCAACCGTGAGAAAAATAGTTAAAAATCACTCAGTACATAAGTTGGAAGTTATTCTCCACAAGGGACCTTGCTTGACTTGGGGGAAGATCCAGAATCCAGAAACCCAACTTAGTCTACTAGATACACCATGTTTCTTGAAACATCTAGTCATGTAAGCAGGGGCCTGGAATGGTGGAATCAAACTCAGCAGCAGTTGAACTCCAAGTCAATCCAGTCCAGCAATCTCTTGAGCATCATGGGAAACCATGGAACACCAATACTAATCTAGCAATCTAGCAACATCCAACAGCTAGGAACACATCCAGTCAGCATTTGAAGGGAAGATGTTGGGTTGCTAGTGATGCCATTGGCAAGCTCTTGAGCATCAAAGGGAAACCTTGCTTAAGAAGATCAGCCATGGAACACCAGTGCTAATCTAGCACCATCCACCAGCCAGGCAGACTGACATGAAACAATACACCAAGTCTTATGCTAGGGTTAGGGTTAGCACATGCTTCATTCAAAAAAAGAAGCATAGATTCCCACACAGCATTCAAATCCAATCAAAGCAGTGACATTTACAAGGTCATACATAAATTCAACTACAGTTACAATTTCAACTACAAAGGTATAATGGTTTCATAAGAAACCAAGGCTTGCCTGCATTCCAGAGGGGGCCCTCCTCCAGAAGTACAGTTGGGCCAATACAAACCGTCCTCAATTCAACCAAGTTCCCAAAAAAGCGCACAAAAGCTGATAACAAAGATACTAAAAACACATTAGCATCAACACAACTTTGCAAAGTTCACATACCTGAGGTGCACTATTTATTCACCAGGAGTCAAAGACAAACAGCTCTAGAAAGTTTATGTCAGTACAACATAGATTATACAGAAGTTGAATACTCACTACACCAAAGCCTGACCAACTAGCTACTACCAATATATACCAACACATACCACACAAAAAAACGTCATAGGCTGACCCACACAGGTGGGTACAGACCAAATAAAATGTCATAAGCTGACCTACAATGTAGGTACAGACTAGCCCCCAGATCCCATATGAGCTGGCCTACAATGTAGGCACAGACTATTCCCCCAGACCCAACATATTACCCAACAACCAAAAATTGCGCTGGCCAAGCACAATCTAAGGTCAAGGGCAGCCCCTCCCTACATCCTGTAGCTGCAGACTACAGTCAATAGTGAGGTGCCAAGGATGCTGCAAAATAACGGTAATCAAGTAATGTGAAAATTCTGGGATCAGAGGTGCCACTTACCTTATGACAGCCGAGACAATGGGCTGAGATAAAAACGGGGATGACGTAGCACACAAAACAGGAGAGAGAGAGGGGGAAAGGGAGATGGAGATGGAGGGAGAGGGAGGACGATGGAGGGGAAGCATCACATTGCAGGGAAACGCAGTAAGGGAAAAAACATGCCACTGACTGGGGGGGATTTATATACTTGAGTCTTATGTACCATTGTTTGGCCACAGTCCAACTAGCGAGGTCGCTGTCAATGTCACGTTCTTGGCCTTGGTGCATGTTCAGTTGCCATGAGTGCTGGCAACTTCCTCTGAGTCAGTACTGCGTGTCGTACTATACATTGCGAATAGCGATGTCACATGACTCCACTGTCACCGGATTCGGCTTCTATATACTAAATACTAAATGTTCACTTGACATTTTCATAATTGCATTGTCGAGCCAAGCAAGCACTCCCTCGTGCCATTGGCTGAGTGGTAGTGGTGGCTTACCCTTGGGATTTCACAGAAAATGTATTGTAGTAGCACTACTGGATCATTTAATACATGTAGTCACTTATTGAAACCAGAAATCGGCCTAGCAGTGACTGACCACTCCATATATAGTCCTACATAATGTTCCAGAGATGCATCCAAAGTATGGGTAGACACGTGTGATAATCATGACAGCCATGATGTTGTTCATGTCACAATTAAGGTTGTGTCCAAGATTATCATAGGTCTCACTACGTGACCTGTCCAAAATCGAGATCTGTGCATCCGAGTATCTGGATTGACATGGTCTTTTGCTCCTCTCCTCTTGCCACACAGTGTCTCCCTCACCAACCGTCATTGCATTATCCCACTCTCTGGCCCCACTGCGTCTCAGCGAAATTTTTGGTACGTCGTTGTCCTCTGGATCTCTTGCACCTCTCCCTCTCTAAACACAAAATAGGTACATCGTGCCGCATCTCCCTTCAAAAAAAAAACAAAAAAGGTATGTTGTCAAACCTCTCATGGCTTCAACACTCACATCACACACCAGGACACTGCCATTCTTCTCAGTCTATTGCATGTTGTTCAGTGTCCCATACTACTCACAAAGCCCATTCATTCAAAAAGAAGGTAAGTAGCTCACAGCATCCCTCTACAACTCACAAAACACCCCCCCCCTCTCGCCAGTGTCACACACCAAGGGTGTTTGGTGAGGTGGACATGGATGTAGCTGATGAATGGAGGTGAAGACCATAGCCCTCATGCGAAGAAGGACAGCCAGCAATGTCGGCAGTCATCCCTTGCACAAGAACAAGTTGTCAATAGCAAAGAAAAAGGAGGAGGCAGGTTAAGCGCCCGTGTACGGCATTCTGGTTTTCGACGTATCTCCACCAATTCTGCAGACACCAAAACCATTCCCACACTCACTTGTAGTGCTCAGCCATGTGATCCTTCCTTCCAGGATTGGAAAGGATTTGCACACTCCACATGTTTCTACAGCACTCCCTCCAAAAGACGCTCATTTCGCTAATTCTTCTGATATGGCTGCCTCCACATCAGTCATTTCACTTGCCCCCTTTGCTAGGGACCATGGCTACATATATCTACCAGGGGTTCCTACCAGCTTCCATCCTGAAGCATCCTGGTACATCCCACCCTCATCTGCCCCCTCTCAGCCCATCCAGCTTGGACGGCATGTTCTTTTTGTCAGTATGACCTCCAGGAGGACATTCTTTGGTCGCCTCAGGTCTGTCATTCGCTTGGAAAGGTCTTATGTGGTTGTTTCAGTCTCTCCAGTCCAAGAAGCATATGGATCCTTCCTCCCTGCCCCCTGCAACGTCTTCATACCAGTCTCATCCATCATTCTTCCAAAATTGCAACAGCTACAGTATAATCTACTGTTCTCCACTCTCCCTGATCGCATCCATGACAAGTATGATGCACATCTTGCCTCCTTGTTGCAAGATACAGCAGAAGACGCTCCCCCTTCATCCTCTCTTCCAACAGAGCCTCATTCATGAAGTTTTTATTTGCTTCACTGAGAGGATGGTTTGGGGGGGAAAGTTGCGATCCCCTATGCTCCTGTCACCCCACAGACCCCCAAAGCTTGACCCCTGTTGACATCTGACTCACCCTGTCCGCTTTTGGATGTACTATATTGGCATCAGATCAGCGCTGCCTCTCTGTCATCCCACTTTGGCCTAGAAGTGATCTCTTCGAGATGTGACATGCACAGCCTCCCCCTAATGTGATTCCAGTGCACTTTCCCAGTACCTGACATTGCTTGACTCATACTGTGACATTCTGACTGTCTTTGACTTACCTATTGCCAATACTTACCAATCTTTTGACTTTGCTTACTGATTCTTCACTTTTTGGCTTACTTATCCTTACCAATGCTTACCAATGCTTTCCAAGACGATTACCCATTGCTTACATTCCTTACTCATCAGTTACCAATCACTTACCAAGTGTTTGCACCTTGTTTTCCATAGGCAACACCCCTGTACTGTATATAAGTCACTGTACTTAGGTAGCAAAAAAAGAAGACATCAGAGAGCCCCTCTTGCTCGCAATTTATCATCTCTCAGTAAATCATTCATCAGCTTCGATAGTTGAGACTTTATTAAGGGTCTAGCTATCATCTACTTCACTTATCATCATCTATCATCCATATACTTCGCTCCAAGCCCTCCCTGACCTCAGTACAGCTTAGGACATCGAATTAAGTCACCATCCATCCTTCTGTAGGCTGACAGCAGTCTACCCTATCGCTTTCTATCACATTCTTGCTCCCTCTTCGTCAGGAGCACCCCCAACCCTCAGCACTCATCTTTGAGTGTTGTAGCTTGCAAAAACCCTCCCAAAGAACAGGTTCTACCATCTAGGTACCACATAGGCACACCACCACTTGATTTCATTGTCTTTTGTGTTGGTTTTGGTTGGTTTTCACCACTGAACCTCACTTTGACTCACACCAGGTCTCATCCAAAAAACAGGTATGTCATCCCAGTGTGCAGCATCTCTCTACCACTCACAGAACACCCTCTCGCCTTGTCTCATCCACAAAACAGGTATGTCGTCCTACTTCCTGGCATCCCTCTACCACTCACAAAACACCCCCTTGCCATGCTTATCCAAAAAAAAGGTATGTCGTCCCAACTTCGCAGTGTCCCTCTACAACTCACAGAACACCCCCTCGCCATGCCTTATCAAAAAAACAAAAGGTAAGTCGTCCCAGGTCACGGCGTCCCTCTACCACTCACAGAACACCCCCTCACTGTGCTCATCCAAAAAAAAGGTATGTTGTCCCAGCTTCGTGGTGTCCCTCTACAACTCACAGAACACCCCCTCACTGTGCCTTATCCAAAAAAAAGGTAAGTCGTCCCAGGTCATGGCATCCCTCTACCACTCACAGAACACCTCCTCGCCATGCCTCATCCAAAAAAAGGTACATTGTCCCAGCTCGCAGCGTCCCTCTACCACTCACAAAACACCCACAGAACACCCCCTTGCCATGCCTTATCAAAAAACAAAAGGTAAGTCGTCCCAGGTCGCAGCATCCCTCTACCACTCACAGAACACCCCCTCACCATGCTCATCCAAAAAAAAAGGTATGTCGTCCCAGCTTTGCGGCATCCCTCTACCACTCACAGAACACCCCCTCGCCATGCTCATCCAAAAAAAAAGGTATGTCATCCCAGCTTCGCAGCATCCCTCTACAACTCACAGAACACCCCCTCACCATGCCTCATCCAAAAAAAGGTACATTGTCCCAGCTCATGCAGCATCCCTCTACAACTCACAAAACACCCACAGACCACCCCCTCGCCATGCTCATCCAAAAAAAAAGGTGTGTTGTCCCAGCTTTGTGGCATCCCTCTACAACTCACAGAACACCCCCTCACCGTGCTCATCCAAAAAAAAAGGTATGTTGTCCCAGCTTTGCAGTGTCCCTCTACCACTCACAGAACACCCCCTCGCCATGCTCATCCAAAAAAAAAAGGTATGTCATCCCAGCTTCGTGGCATCCCTCTACAACTCACAGAACACCCCCTCGCTGTGCCTCATCCAAAAAAAAGGTACGTTGTCCCAGCTCACGCAGTGTCCCTCTACAACTCACAAAACACCCACAGAACACCCCCTCGCTGTGCTCATCCAAAAAAAAAGGTGTGTTGTCCCAGCTTTGCAGCATCCCCCTATAACTCACAGAACACCCCCTCGCTGTGCCTTATCAAAAAAAAAAGGTATGTCATCCCAGGTTGTGGCATCCCTCTACCACTCACAGAACACCCCCTTGCTGTGTCTCATCCTACAAAAGCTATGTTGTCCCAGTTCCTGGTGTCCCTGTACCACTCACAAAACACACTAGTAGGCTATCAATTCATATCTCCCTCCTGCCACACTGCATCTCCCTTGCTGTGTCTCATCCAATAAGGTATGTTGTTGGACTTCTACTTCATGGTGTCCAGATGATACTTACATATCACCCTCTTTGGTCTGCTTATCCAGTGCCCAGTGTTGTGTAGTTGCATACATTGGCTTCTCTTTTCCATAAATATGTAGATATCTATCCCTGCTGCATGATATATGTACTAAACTAAATGCATTTATTGTTATCTTACTGCTTGTCCCCTACACCTTCTGTGTCATATGTTGCTGCCACTCACTAATGTTGGCATAATAGACTCAGATGGTGAAGACCAAGCAGACAGCTAAGAAGACCACTGGGGGTAGAGCTCCCAGGGTATCTCTTGCTGGTCTGAAAGCTAGGGAAAAACATGCTGCCAAGTCAAGCAAGGCCCATGCTAGGAAGGCCCCTGTTGCCAAGAAGAGAAGGATGAGGAACTTGGCAAGTCTCTTTTTATATTCCATCCATCTTTCTAACATTCTATGCAGTTCTGTGTGATGTGCAGGGATGGAGGGACATTGTGGCCTTGTGATCAGGCAGGTTGCAGAAGGGTAGTGTGTAACAAGTGTGTTGTAGTACCTGAGGATTGCCTTGCAGAGGTCACCCAGCTTCCTGTGACCTTCAGGTGTGTTAACCTCCCTTTTATGAATTAATTCCATTGACTCAAACTCTGGATGAACTTCAGGTGTGTTTCCTGTCATTGGAAAATGACAAGATTTGAAAGTCCTCAGCCCTATTTTGTAAGTGCATATTGCCACCCCAATCACTTCTAACTCCAAGTACAGGGCTTCTACTTGTCAGGCAAGCCAGTCCTGAAACACCCTCTTGTGGTCATTGGGGGGTTTGAGCATGCCACCACCTCTGAAGTGGCTGGTAACTCTACTGCCATTATCCACCTCCACCTTGAGTCTCTAGAGCTTGGCCATGCCCCTGTGCATATCCTTCACACCATGTTGCAGGGATATTTCAGACAAGACACCTACCACTTCTCACAACTGCCCTTCAACTTTGCCACTGAGGAGTCCAGAGCTGCCTATGACACTGCAGCATCAAAGCTAGCTTCAAGTCTGACTACCTTTGCTAAGGTAGTCATTTTCCTTACTACCCATACTGATGAAGACAGGGGGGATCTGTTCTCTGGAATGGAGAATAAGGTTCCAATAGCCACAGAGGTCTTTGAGGTAAGTCACCATTGTTTGACTGTCACTCCCATCTGACCAGTTGCAGTTTCTGCAAGGCCTTCTGTTACCCCTCTCCAACATTGTCAAGGGTGGAGACCTCATCTTCTTTGTATGTGGTTCTATTGTAAGGAAGGAGCAGAGCTTCCAAGGACTGAAGGCAGCTGTGCAACAATAGGTTTTCTTTCAATGTTGGTGGTTATGGCTAACACCATATCAGTTTCAAGCCAAGGTCCATGTTGCTTTTTGATGCTGAGAGACTTCAACTAGTCACCACCATTCCCTTCCTCATGAGTGTCCTTGACTCCACCCTTTTTCAAGGCTTCCATGTCCAAAGTGCAGTCAGGTATGCCCTGAATGACTGTGGTATGTTGGGTAGGCACTCCAACATCATCCTGATGTTGTGGCAGGAGAAGGTAGTGGTGGAGAAATTTGTCTGGACTGACAAGTTCATCAGGCCTTGGGGACAACAATTGCCTGCCCAGTGCCCTCAGTGTTATAGCATTCAGAAGTGGAAAGCTGGTTGTTCAGGGCAGACTTATTCCTATGAGTGCAAGAATCCTGGCTGTGGGAAGGACACACAAGGCACATCTCAGCCTCCCCAAACCTATACTATCTGCATGTCCAAAGGGGCTACCAAACTGACACAGGGAAAGGGGCAAACATCATCCTGGCTGTTGGAATCTTTGTAAAATACCCTACCTTGATACATATGATATGCATGTACTACAATCAAAAATAGCTGCTTTGTGTTTTCAAATTTCATATGACATTGAATGTTCAGAAAAAAAAGTAATTTCCTGCAGGACAATTCCTCCTTAAGTACTGATACACAACTGAGTAAATTTGCCCAATGTTAATTCCAATACAATGGCCAGATTGGTAGAGTTAACTTCAATACCACAGGTTAAGGATAGGATATAGGATTTTTCCACAACCATGTGGGTTCAGCCAGCTAACTACCAAGGAAGTAGTGTACTGAGTAATAAGATTGGCCAGCCCCACTAACCCACTAGCAAGATATTGGTCTTTCTGGCAAAGTGTCTGCCCAACCACAACTCCAGGTCATGGTTCATTCCCCCCAGCCACATCAGCTGACCCCACTGCCAGGACATCATCCCTTCCCCCAGCCATGTCAGCTGGCCCCACTTCCAGGTCACTAATCTATCCCATAGCTGGTTTGGCCAACCCCACTTCCAGGTCACTAACCTATCCCATAGCTGTGTCAGCTGACACCACTTCCAGGTCACTAATTCATCCCATAGCTGTGTTGGCCAACCCCACTTCCAGGTCACTAATCTATCCCATAGCTGTGTTGGCTGACCCCACTTCTAGGTCACTAATTCATCACATAGCTGGGTTGGCTGACCCCACTTCTAGGACACTAATCTATCCCATAGCTGTGTCAGCTGACCCCACTTCCAGGACACTAACCTATCCCATAGCTGCATCAGCCAACCCCACTTCTAGGACACTAATTCATCCCATAGCTGTGTCGGCCGACCCCACTTCCAGGACACTAACCTATCCCATAGCTGCATCAGCCAACCCCACTTCTAGGACACTAATCTATCTCATAGCTGTGTCAGCCGACCCCACTTCTAGGACACTAATCTATCTCATAGCTGTGTCAGCCAACCCCACTTCTAGGGCACTAATTCATCCCATAGCTGTGTCAGCTGACCCCACTTCCAGGACACTAACCTATCCCATAACTGCATCGGCCAATCCCACTTCTAGGACACTAATCTATCTCATAGCTGTGTCAGCCGACCCCACTTCTAGGACACTAATCTATCTCATAGCTGCATTGGCCGACCCCACTTCTAGGGCACTAATTCATCCCATAGCTGTGTCAGCTGACCCCACTTCCAGGACACTAACCTATCCCATAGCTGCATCGGCCAATGTGAGTCAAAGTGAGGTTCAGTGGTGAAAACCAACCAAAACCAACACAAAAGACAATGAAATCAAGTGGTGGTGTGCCTATGTGGTACCTAGATGGTAGAACCTGTTCTTTGGGAGGGTTTTTGCAAGCTACAACACTCAAAGATGAGTGCTGAGGGTTGGGGGTGCTCCTGACGAAGAGGGAGCAAGAATGTGATAGAAAGCGATAGGGTAGACTGCTGTCAGCCTACAGAAGGATGGATGGTGACTTAATTCGATGTCCTAAGCTGTACTGAGGTCAGGGAGGGCTTGGAGCGAAGTATATGGATGATAGATGATGATAAGTGAAGTAGATGATAGCTAGACCCTTAATAAAGTCTCAACTATCGAAGCTGATGAATGATTTACTGAGAGATGATAAATTGCGAGCAAGAGGGGCTCTCTGATGTCTTCTTTTTTTGCTACCTAAGTACAGTGACTTATATACAGTACAGGGGTGTTGCCTATGGAAAACAAGGTGCAAACACTTGGTAAGTGATTGGTAACTGATGAGTAAGGAATGTAAGCAATGGGTAATCGTCTTGGAAAGCATTGGTAAGCATTGGTAAGGATAAGTAAGCCAAAAAGTGAAGAATCAGTAAGCAAAGTCAAAAGATTGGTAAGTATTGGCAATAGGTAAGTCAAAGACAGTCAGAATGTCACAGTATGAGTCAAGCAATGTCAGGTACTGGGAAAGTGCACTGGAATCACATTAGGGGGAGGCTGTGCATGTCACATCTCGAAGAGATCACTTCTAGGCCAAAGTGGGATGACAGAGAGGCAGCGCTGATCTGATGCCAATATAGTACATCCAAAAGCGGACAGGGTGAGTCAGATGTCAACAGGGGTCAAGCTTTGGGGGTCTGTGGGGTGACAGGAGCATAGGGGATCGCAACTTTCCCCCCCAAACCATCCTCTCAGTGAAGCAAATAAAAACTTCATGAATGAGGCTCTGTTGGAAGAGAGGATGAAGGGGGAGCGTCTTCTGCTGTATCTTGCAACAAGGAGGCAAGATGTGCATCATACTTGTCATGGATGCGATCAGGGAGAGTGGAGAACAGTAGATTATACTGTAGCTGTTGCAATTTTGGAAGAATGATGGATGAGACTGGTATGAAGACGTTGCAGGGGGCAGGGAGGAAGGATCCATATGCTTCTTGGACTGGAGAGACTGAAACAACCACATAAGACCTTTCCAAGCGAATGACAGACCTGAGGCGACCAAAGAATGTCCTCCTGGAGGTCATACTGACAAAAAGAACATGCCGTCCAAGCTGGATGGGCTGAGAGGGGGCAGATGAGGGTGGGATGTACCAGGATGCTTCAGGATGGAAGCTGGTAGGAACCCCTGGTAGATATATGTAGCCATGGTCCCTAGCAAAGGGGGCAAGTGAAATGACTGATGTGGAGGCAGCCATATCAGAAGAATTAGCGAAATGAGCGTCTTTTGGAGGGAGTGCTGTAGAAACATGTGGAGTGTGCAAATCCTTTCCAATCCTGGAAGGTAGGATCACATGGCTGAGCACTACAAGTGAGTGTGGGAATGGTTTTGGTGTCTGCAGAATTGGTGGAGATACGTCGAAAACCAGAATGCCGTACATGGGCGCTTAACCTGCCTCCTCCTTTTTCTTTGCTATTGACAACTTGTTCTTGTGCAAGGGATGACTGCCGACATTGCTGGCTGTCCTTCTTCGCATGAGGGCTATGGTCTTCACCTCCATTCATCAGCTACATCCATGTCCACCTCACCAAACACCTTTGGTGTGTGACATCGGCCAACCCCACTTCTAGGGCACTAATTCATCCCATAGCTGTGTCGGCCAACCCCACTTCCAGGACACTAACCTATCCCATAGCTGCATCAGCTGACCCCACTTCTAGGACACTAATCTATCCCATAGCTGCATCGGCTGACCCCACTTCTAGGGCACTAATTCATCCCATAGCTGTGCCAGCCAACCCCACTTCCAGGACACTAACCTATCCCATAGCTGCATCAGCTGACCCCACTTCTAGGACACTAATCTATCTCATAGCTGTGTCGGCCGACCCCACTTCTAGGACACTAATTCATCCCATAGCTGTGTCAGCCAACCCCACTTCTAGGACACTCATTCATCCCATAGCTGTGTCAGCCAACCCCACTTCTAGGACACTCATTCATCCCATAGCTGCGTCAGCCAACCCCACTTCCAGGACACTAATTCATCCCATAGCTGCATCAGCTGACCTCACTTCCAGGTCATCAATCCATCCTATAGTCATGTCAGCCAACCCCACTTCCAGGGAAGTTGATCCATCATCCTGTGACATAAACTGACCCCACCTTCACAGTCCGGCCTACCCAACCCTAGGGACCACCAGCCAATGTCGGTTAGTCCCAGTTTCAGGACGAAATGTACATGTCAGATGACCCACTTTTAGGACTACAAGTGACTGAATCATGTGTTTTCACCTTTATCAGATTCATACTTGTAGCATACTTGATTGTATGCTCAAATTCCATAGTAACTTAGCTGCTTGGGATGCTTATCTACTTGAGTCGCACTTAAACATTTGCCAAGTTACTTAGTGGTCATGAATGCTTGGCAATGTGGGTGCTCAGCATGCTTATGCTACTTATGTGCTTGACAGGTGCTGCTAAGTGGTCAAGCATGGTTAAGCAGACTTATGATTTGCTGATGTAGCACAGCACAGCTTCGATCTGGAAGTACAGCCCTGCAGGTTGCATCATGTCCAGTAAACAAGGAGCCGAACATACTATATGTGCCGAGTTACCAGTGGGGTGGAACGGCACAAGCCTTGAATCCGAAGGCATATGGTCTTCAGATATGGCAACCACTTAATGTTGTCCTCGAGTGATCTCGTTCAAATTCCACATCGGATGCACACTGTTCCCTATCAGGATGTGAATGTGGCCACTGGCCCACAGGTCTCTCCTACCGCTCCTAGCCGAGCTTATCAGAATATTATGCAACATTATTCCTGTGCCGGGCTACATTCAAACGACCTCGCTTAACCTCCCAGAGCCCCATTGGGCGTACACTGTTCCAATCAGAATGCGAAAAGTGACTGCAGGTTTCCTACCGCTCCTAGCCAAAAGATGTGGGTTCATCAGAGAAACGGGGAATGACAGAATCACGGTCACGACCAGTCAGTGACGGGTTTAAACAGGTTTAAACCATTTTTTCGCTTCCTGATGTTGTCAAGATGGGCGACCTCAGACATGTGCCCAAGCACGCTGTCCTAGACTCTATAGGACTATGGGCTATGGGTTTCTGCATAGGCACTGATGCCGAACTCGGAGGCAACAGACATTAATACGTAGCCCGCGAGCTGGCCTCTGAAACGGTTTTACTCATATGATCAGGGGGGTAGAATTGCAGACCCTGACGAAGTGCACATACCGCACTCAATCGGAAGCTGCCAATTAGCTCATCGGATTTGGTCAGTTGACAACATTAGAACGCAATGTGAATTTCCCCCACCTTCAGAGTTGGGTTACCGCAGAAATGGCCATACCATCACGTATCATACGCTGTTTAAGGACGAGTTTCTCCCTTTCCACTTGTTGCATTATGTCTTTTAAGTTGTTGCATAACTAACTAGGGGCGCTCGGAGAGAAGCAAACGTGGTGCGTATGGCAGAAACGTGGGAATTATGATGATAAAGTGAATGAACGCCAAACTAAAAGAAAAATAGGTCGACTGACATAATCTATGCTGATAGATCTGCGTGCATCAGGTCTACCAACTCGAAGGTTTCTTTGGTAAGCTTTCATAAGGCCAACGGATGTCAGAAGATACCACAAGTGAGAATACCAAACTGCAAACGTCGTTCAAGCACGTGAGATTACTGGAGGAGTTCGTGCCACTTCTCAAGCTGTCGATATCCTTCAATATGGTGACACCCTTATCTATTGCACACTGAGTCATATCGAAACTGTCGGGTCGAGCAGAGAGCTGCAGCGTCAGCGCTTCTTAAGTGGCACGTCCAGCTGGGATAGTGTTTGTAAGCCTCCCTCACTAACCACCCAAGCTAGACATACCTCCTCAGGAGCCTCCAAAAGGTGTAACAAATTCGCAGTGCCTTCCTTGCGCGACGCGGACTGCAGAGGAGGGTGTACGTGAACAACGAACAGGTATAAAACGACCTCGCGTACAACCACTTCAACGGTGCCACCTGGTGACCCACACAACATACTCTCGTATGCCAGGGCAGAGACACGACAAGCTTCGGAAGTTGGTGCGAACGTCAAACGAGCCCGGTACATGCACCCATGCGTCTGATGGGATGGAATAGTAATCTCCAATGATGATCGCATCGCATCAAATGAAGCTCACAAGGTAGGGGGGGATTCCGTTTTCTTGACAAGATTGCCTCATTCTCTGCTACGCATCGGTTACTAAGGTAGCAAAGGGTAGGACTGGGGCTGGCCACAGAAATAGAAGTGAGACACAGCTACCCACTACCAAAGGGAAAACCACTTGCCAACGCTAAGTTAGTTGGAGCCCTGGAAAGCAGCAGGGATTCGTACGAGCAGTATTCAATAGTGAACTTAATGAATCACCGGCCGGAGCCCGATTTACATCGTGCAATTTCTTTGTTCAGCTCGTCGATTTCAAAGTCTCAGTGCTGGTTCCGCAGTTTGTGAAATCTTCCAGTCGTCAGCGTATGGCAGGAGGAAAGTCTCCCAGTGCACCGCAGATGTTATCAAAGTCTTGTCCCATCTGGGAGTCGGCCTCCACTCTCCTGCAAATACTGGGATATTTTGTGAGTAAAAAGACAGCGAATCGTAAACCCCGCTGTATACCTTGATTACAGCCTCGAGTTCTTTAACCTTCTTATTGTTGATGAGTCCGCGTCCAATCCATGGGCCAACAAATTGCCACAGAAGTCTGGTCATTATCCATCAACAGCTTCGAAACCCTTACCAAGAACATATCTTATCGTTAGTAACAGCACAGGCTTCCGCCGCTGTCCCTTTCTACTTCCAGACAAGCTGTATACAGTTCTGGACAATGCGCGGTAGCCATCAGCGATAGATATAATGCGGCAAGAAGGGGATTCATCTTGAACCAAAGACTTGAGCGAATGGACACCGGAGATACCCAAGATCGCGACCCACTCGAAAAGATAAGTACATACCTCGAATAATCGAAGTAATGTGAATGTAACGGAAGTCAACCTGCAATATTAATAACAACAAAACCACCGGGACCACAGTCCTGTAGCACATTGCAACTTGAAATTCGATTGGAACATTGCCATGATACTTGATGGGGTGGAGGAACGTTGCAATTCCTCATAATAACTCTACTCGGGGATAGCCACCTTCAACCTTGCGCCGGCAAGGACGTTGCTTAGGATTTTCTATTGCTAGTGATGGTTAAGTCAAGATACGAAGCCTGAGTACGAGGAAGGGTGCAATAAGGATACTCGTTGCTGTTTGAAATCGCTAGTTTTCAGGGTGGAGGTGCTTGGCGGCCTGCCATATACCACATCAAGTACTAGCGTGTGGGCTGGGCCGTCATCTATCCACGAGGTGAATCGTAGATGTGCCCAGGATAGCGTGTGCATGCACTCTTGGATGCAGGGGTTTGTCTGGGTTTGCCCGGTCTGCTATTGAGGCTGTATTATGCTGTCCAATGACTGAACTTTGCGGTGTGAGAGCGTTCATACCTGGAGAAAATGGACTTGACATGCACCGAATTTTTAGCTTGCCTTCAGGGCTGTAGTACATGCACCGTTCCTTCAGAGAAGCCACCTCTCGTCATTATAATCTTAATCTTCTTACTTTAACCCCGCGCCTCCATGCCCAATTTGGTATTCCTGTCGAAGAGAATGGAGACTGTACGCACATGTCATACAAGCATGTTGATGCTGCGCTACATCAGTGCACTGTAAAATGCCGCAGCTACATGACCCTCTCCAATTACGTGCCGAGTATGTGTAACAGCCTGGCTGAAGTGATTGATTGATTCCTGGCGTTTTCCATGCAACCAGTTTGATGCCTTACGTCCAGGCGCCTGTCGTTGTCTTGAAGTGCACGTTTCATTCAGGAAACTGCAAACCGCGGTCGGTGGCTCAAGAAAGAAAGAAAACTATCAATTAGGAGAATGTGATTCCCTGGCTTTGGGCATATGTACACTTCTATCAACCACGTCTGGCATTTACCTGCTTGTAGGGACAATACTATGCCATCACGCTCCTAAGAATATTCTTATTCGAATGTTCACTGAGAATACATTGCCTCTCGAGCAGTATCCATTCTGAACTTTAGATTCACAATCAGTTCCCTGGAACGGAGTATCTGTATATGGATAAATCACTTTGCTGGCTAAGCAATGTCACCCAGTGCATGTATTTGTTCCTGTGTACGTTTGGCACACGAGACCAGCCTCGTTTGTTTGACGCAATCTCCTGCGATGTAAGTACCTAACGAGTTGGGGCACTTAAAACGAGACATGTGTGAGATTCAGGTCGCCAAAACTGTTCCCTTCCTGCTCGGATGTCCACCAATACTGGAAAATCCAAGAAAGATCACCTTCCTACCTCCGAGTATGAAGACTGGGGGTTTGAAATCCTCGATCCTGTTCCCCCTTATTCTCCGGAGGAACTGCTGAAAATTGTTGATGTGCTTGGGTCCCCAGAAGCTAAGTCAGCACTTCAAAAAGCAGTTCAAGACCTAGGGAGCTCTGCGTACTCCATCGACATATGCTTCAATAATGTCGCCGAGGGTCTCCGCAAGGCTCACACACAAGGCACACAAGCGCAGAAGCAGCAGTTGCAGGGATATGCTGACAACTGGGCCGCACACCACAAGGCAAGATTTCTATGCTGTCCTATTTTCTTTGTCCTGGTCTTACTGTAGTCTCCAGGAATACACGTGCCTCCTTTGGGAATCGCGCCGCATTGCCGGACATGCTCGTGTGATTGCGAATGGTAAATGAGGTACTCCTCAATGTACTAGTCTGATATCTTATCTGTCATCGCAGATTTCGCTGGGGACTTCCTGAGCCTAATGGATACGTCTGACATGACACTTAGTGAAAAGAAGGCAGAAATTCAAGCATACCGCAAGGTAGTGTTGTGCACTGGCATAGAACTTCGCACTTGACCCATACATCACTCTCATCCCATAGCAATTAGACGAGGACATGAAGAAGTCTTCAGACCTTTCTCAGCGCTTTGATGACCTGCGTAAGGCTGTGGTGAATTTTGGGGATGACATGGCGGAGTTCCTCAGTTCTTGTCGCAACATACCAGTTGCACTTCAAATCGCAGCGAGAAAAGTGGCTACACTTAAACAGGAGATCACCAAGTATGTGTAGCTATACAACCTTTCGTAGCCTGTTTAACTGATCTGAACACTTTCCAATTGTAGACTTGACACCGCTGTATGTTCTCTGACGCTTTCAATCAATACGGTGGTGATACTAACCATGTTCAAGCTTTCTTGGTCTATTGGCATTGCCTTGGGTACAGCTGGTGTTGCATTGGCCGCCATTGTGCTTGGTGTGCTTTGCCCACCTCTGTGGATTTTTCCCGTTGTATGGATCATCTTCATTTCGGTGTGCATATCTTTCACTTACACATAACCCTTCCTAGGGCATAGGGGTGCTAAGCGCCCAAGTAAGTAGAAATATACACAAACAACTTCGGATGAAAAAAGGTATTTTCTACTCGAGATTATCCACTTCTTTATGAAATACGTGTACAGATAAACTGGCAGAGTTAGGAAAGCAACAGATGCAGCTTGAAGAACGGAGCAGAAGTTTAGAAGGAATGCACAAAATATATGCTACCCTCGACCCTATGAAATCTGATATTGAGCTAATCAAAGAGAAGCTGGCAGTGTTCGGGCAGATATGGCAACTGGTAGGTTTCTTTTTCATCTACCCCCCAAAAATCATGACAATTTCTCACTTCTGGGGTTAGGTTCATGCGGACCTCAACACTGTCGAAAAGGGCCTTGAACTCGCAACAAGCGCTGCCGGTGTTGCTATGGTTTGTATTGTTGCAGCACCAAAATGTGAACTAACCTCACTGCCGCAGTTCAAACGCCGACTTCAGACGGCTTCTAAGGTGTATGCTTTGCTCGCAGACACTCTTTACCAGTATGAGACCAATGTTCACATACAGAGGATCGGCAAACTTGAAGACTGATCCAGACTGCCGTGATTTGTCCTTTTTGATCTTGCTTTCTTTGTAACAACTCCGCGTACTACTAGTACAAGTTGAAAGTTAGTCTCGAAAACCAGCTGTTCCGGGAGATCGGATATCCGGTGCACGTTGCGGGGTACTGTCACTTGACCGTGTTGCAACATGACACTGTTGCAAAAGGCTAACTACAGCACACCACACTTCAAGAGCGTGATAATACAAGCAGAGCAATGGTGGAGTGACATTATCATTTCTGTCTTGCTGCCATTCAAAATTCGTCGACGAAAGTTACTGCGGATTGTCAGCGCGTCGGAGTTACAATGTAAGGTGTGGCATTGTGTGTGACAGCCCTCAGTTTCGCAGATGGCATCTCTCTGGCATCTTCTACTCCACACATATCATCTTTATTTCTATCAGAAGTTTCTCTGTACGTGTTCCTCTGCGCGCCCATGTATTCTTTTAGTGTATTTTAATGCTGTGATTGTGAGGTTCTGAAGCAGTGTTTTCTGATGTTGCAACACCTGTCAAGTGATAGTACAGCTTGCATCTCAGAGGATTTGTCCGGATACTGGAAGAGCGTCCTCCGACCCCTCCTTGTCAGCAAGGTATAAATTATCCAGGTTATGGAAGCGGGAAACCCAATCTGCTCTCTTGTCGACCGTCCCTTCACCCGTATGTCTACCGATATCAGTGACCTTGATCTCTTTTTCTGCGGTGAAGTTACTGTGTTCAATGTTGAAAGCCCAAAGGGGAATGCTTTCAACTTCGACGAGCTCGCACTGTTTGCAGATGTTCCTCCTTATCACCCACCATCCGTGGAGGTGTTGAATGTCATCAATGATACGCTCAGGTCTCCCCAAGCCAAGTCAGAGCTTCAAGAAGCAATTAAAAATCTGGGCGACTCTGCCCACACGGTCGAAGTATGTTTCAATAACGTCGCCGACTGTCTCCACAGGGCCCAGAGGCAAGGGACAGAAGCGCAAGCACTGGAGTTGATGGGATATGCTGAAAAGTGGGTAGTCCATCGCAAGGTAAATTCTCCATCCTGTTCTCTCCACTTCGTCTCTGTCCTACTACGGTTCCTAGGAATACATCCGCCTGCTGTGGGAATCGCGTCGTGTTGCTGGGCATGCTCGAGTGGTTGCAGACGGTGAACGGTGTACCTCTTCTATAGTCCTCTCTGGTATCTTATTTTCGACCTAGATTTTGCTGGGAATTTCATGAATCTGATGGCTGCCACTGATGTCACATTTGCTGAAAAAAAGAAAGAGATTCAGGCATATCGCAATGTATGGATGTGCGCTGATATACGTTGGGCGCCTTGCTCATGCTTCGTCCCCACCATGTAGCAACTGCAAGAGGATGCGAAGGAGTCCTCAAACCTTTCCCAAGGTTTTTACGATCTAAAGAATGTTGTGGAACGGTTTCAGGACGACGTGGTGGGATTTCTGCAGTCTCGTGGCGAACTAGAAACCCAAGTTCAGGATCTACGGGCAAACCTGGACAAAATCAAGAAGGATATCTCTCGGTTCGTCTATCTACGTATATGATGAAGTCCAATACTGATCAAATCACCTCGGGCTGCAGACTGACTTGGCGGGTATGTTCTCTCGGTGCCATCAATCACTGTAATGATTACAAAATTTTACAAGGCTTTCTTTGGTGCCGCAGATCTCATTGGAGGCGTTGTAGCAAGTGGTCTTGCGGGGGTCTTTGCAGTTGGTGTATTGTGCCCACTTCTGTGGATTGGTATTGCTGTATGGATTGCTCCTACTTCTGGTGTGCATTTCTTACTCAAACATGATGCCGTGCTAGTTGGAAGCATATAAAGCTGTCACGAAGGGAGCAGGCTTAGTCCAAATAATTCTGGAACGAAAAGGCATGAGGCTGTCTACTCACAACTGCCTACTTTCTCATGAAATCTTCCTGTATTAGCGAAAACGGCAGAGTTAGAAACGCTGCGGAAACTCCTTGAGCAACAGATGAAATCCGCAGAAGGAATGCGTAAAATCCACACTGTCCTTGATCCCTTGAAATTCGACATGGAAATGATCAAGGAGAAGCTGGTCGTTTTCGGAAAAATTTGGCAATTAGTGAGTGCTTTCGACCATATAATATCACTTGACTCATGTTCACGATGAGATTCATACCGATCTCAATGAGATCGAGAGGAGTCTTGACCTTGCAACCGGCGGTGCCGGTACCCAATTGGTCCGTTCTATCTCCGTTGGATGAAAGACCAGAAAGTAACTTTGTTCCCCACAGTTCCAAACGCGGCTTGACGCCGTTTCGACTATATACCATACGCTCGCGGACGCTCTTTACCAATACGAGACCAACGTTCACGTCCAGAATGTCGCTGAGCTTGAGGATTGATCATCCTTCTTGGTTTTAACCTCTGTAGAACATGCTTCATGTAATATAAGATTGTACATCGAGTCTGTCTCCGCCCTGTTACAAAGGTCGCCGTCCCTTCGACGTATACCCATGTATGAAATCACGAATCGTGATCCAGGAATAGATGCCAGCACCGAAGGGTGCTGATAGCTAACAACTTTGGGCAATTCTGTGCCAATGTGTCAACTGAACCACCCCTCACAGCAAAGGCTCGGCGCAACGCCAGAAGCAACTTGGACAGAGTCATGGTAGAAATCGCGGTGCGTGCTTATTATGCCCATTTTGGCCTCTACGTGCCACGGCCATCTTCCCCTGATCAGCGTCCACATATAAGAGGATATTACATCGTCATAAACATCTCACAAACTTTCGAGTTCGTCCTCTCCGCCCGTTGTGGGTCTGTTCGCAGCGCTCATTTCCAGTCATGCCAATACGTCGACCTCACGTTCAGTGTTCCGTTCTCCAGACTCACGGGCACTTTCCTGTACGTACATATCCTGTACATGGCCCTCCTTAAATAGAACAGAAGGCAAACCTGAATGGAAAGGGGCGGGCATATGGGAAATGAAAACCATATCGTTAAAGCAGGTGGGACGTAATAGCTCGACGGTACGCCCTAATTGGACGAATGAGGCGCAATTGCGCACTCTGTGCGCGTAGATGAGTCCTTGCATCTCATTTCCCCCTATCCATGAATTTCAGATCGGTCTAGCATGAAATGTCACGAAGAATGGAGCGCGGACTAACGACGAAGATCTCAACGACGACTTCTTCAAGGAGGTCTCCTGACGCGCTTCCAGCACCGAGGTGCTCTGGGAGGCCTCGCAGCCTGGTCTCCATAATACACGTAAGCGAGAAACCCAGGTCATGTAAAGGACGGCTCGCCAGCAGGGAGGATGGACCAGATGCGCTGCGACCACACCTCGAGTTAGTTATAGGTTGGCATTGAAGAGGCCGCGATGAAGTCGCATCACTCACACCGGCTACAAGGTGAGAGCGTTCAGCATCATTGTTTTGAAGTTTCCGACAGCGGTTCAGCGATTGCCCGCGTAAATTCATCGGTGCCCGCGCTGGTATGGTGGCAGACGGTTGGGTCAGCGGAGACGCCACTACAGGTCCGTAACCGCAACTGCGGAGTGAATGGCTGAAATGTACTAAATGGAGACCTTTGAAGATCCCGCTACCTCGTAATCTTGGTAAGATCTCGTGGGCCGTATCGCGAACAAAAACTGGTGTCCGCGTCGAACGCGAAATACCCCTTGTGTGTGGCTGCCGAATATATAACACAGCAGCTTGCACTCACGTTCACACTTGTGTCCCTCCCTTAAGACCTGTGTCCAGCAACCAGCATCAGTCTTGCGTCTTCCTTTCGACCTGCACTTGAAACTCGCCACATAAAAGAATACTCTGTAGGCTCGGACACCTAATAGAGTACGTGTGATTCTTTGCTGACATGTTGAACCTTGCATTGACTTGATTGGAAGATGAGGTTACTAGACGTGAAAGCTGTTCTCGACCGCGAAAAGGATATCCAACAGACGGTTTCCGACCGTGAAGTCCTCAAGGATCTTGATGACGAGACCACAAGTTATGCCATACTGTCACATCGTTGGGGAATCGAGGTCAGGTACGAAGAGATGATTGGGCTCACGAAGATGGAGGAGCGAACGAGAGATGAAGTAAGGCAACGCGATGGCTATCAAAAGATCACCAGGAGCTGTGAACAAGCTCTGAAGGACGGCTACAAGTGGATGTGGATCGATACCTGCTGCATCGACAAGCGGAGTAGTTCAGAACTTTCGGAAGCCATCAATTCGATGTATCGGTGGTACCAAAATGCCCAGGTGTGCTATGCGTACCTGAACGACGTTGACAAACCAGGCGTCCCTAGCGAGCGAGACCGCCACAAGTTTGACAAATCCGACGGTTGGCCAGAGTGGTTCATGCGGGGGTGGACACTGCAGGAGCTCATCGCACCAAAGAAAGTCGAATTCTTCAACAAGGACTGGGTCCCTATTGGCAACAAACGACGCCTGGCACCTGTGTTGAAGGAAATCACAGGAATTCCATATGAAGTTTTGAGGGGTGGCCTGGGTGCAAAGCGTCTTAGTGTGGCACAAATCATGTCCTGGGCAGCCGACCGGAAGACGACACGCGTGGAAGATCGGGCATACTCATTGATGGGGTTGTTCGGTGTGAACATGCCCATGTTATATGGAGAGGGTAAAAAGGCGTTTCGACGTCTACAACTGGAAATCATCCGGGAATCCAGCGACCAAAGCATATTTGCATGGAATCCACCGAAACCAAGGTCGGGCAGTGTTCTGGCAGAGGATCCAAGCGACTTCCGGCTCTGTGGCGATATCAGGAAGGTGGAACCCGACCAATTTGTCGGTAAACTACGCACGGAGTACATCGAAAAGGATTTCGGAGGCCCACAGCGCGTCCCCCGAAGGCGCAGAGGGGCACATCGACGGAAACTCGAACTCGCGGAGGCTGCGTTGCGTGAAGCTACGCACTCCCAGCAGTTTCGTACATTTTTTATTAGCAATGCCGGTATCCAAGTATACTTGCCCGTCGTCCCCTCTCGCGACTCTCCGTCTCATCTCACAGCCATATTGGCATGTAGCAATGATTTGGGCCTGGCCACCATCGATTTGGTTTCCTCTGGACTCAGCTTTGACAGGACCGCGATCGGAAGCACTACGGACATTCCCACGACTCGCGGTGATGTCCGCAGTGCTTCACGGGCCGCAGTGTATCCAGAATTCAAGACACTCCATCTCACTCATCATCAAGACGCCAACGAGACGCGCCGCGAGTTTGAACTAGATGACAAGCATGCCTCATACCATGAATTCACCTGCTGCGGTACCTACCCGCGCGAGTTTAAAGGCGATGCTGTCTCACTCTCATCCCTCACAGACGATCTCATTGTCATAGTCTATGCCAACGACAGTCATGGGTGTCGCTTTGCAGTTGGCCTCGGATACTACCTCGGTCGAGGATGGGTGCACATCGTCTATGATGATCGCCCTGCAACTCGAGAGGGAAACCAGACATTATGGACAAGCTTTGGCAAGAGAGCATATGATCGAATGTGGAGTGCTCGTGCAGAACATGCTCGGAGTATGCCCAAAGAAGATCACAGCGATGAGCGCCGTAATGACCACTTCATCAAGCACGCGCACCTTCCTCGATCAATTTGGGCTGTGAGGGTAGTCTGGGGTAGATGGGAGATGGACAATTTCAAGGTTACGGTTGATGTCCACCAATGCCCTGGTTGTTGTGACGGGCCACATGGATGGACAACTACATCAGTTGGTACTGTCTCCCTCACGAAATGCCGTCCTAACCATTTGCATTACCATAGAACGATCGGAGTGGCCTTGATATGCCGGGGCCTATGAACTTGGTTCGCCATTCTTATCGCTTGTATCTGGACGGATGGCTTGCCCTGCTTAACGAGTGTGCTGGTCAACGGATTGCGGTGCGTATTGCCATGCGTACTCATCCTCATTCCAAGCCTGATATAAATAGCTGGGTGATTATGGCGACTATGTCAATGGTAATTTCGAGCACGCCGGAAATATATTTGATGATATGAGGCTCCTTGACATCGATCCCACGGACTCAGCCTATTTCCCCGTGGTCTCCCACGTATTTAGCTATTGGGGGCCAATGAGTAGTCTGGACGATCGTGCTGTGGCACACCATGACGAGGGCGCACACCTGGCGCTGCATGAATCAAAAGGCCTCTCGCTTCCCATCAACGAACGTTTTGTGCTGTTGCTGAAAGCGTTGTCTACCCGTGCTGCAGGCAAACACTTGGTCATAACAGTCATACAATGTAACGGGTTCTATCGAGTTGACAGGAATGGTTTTAGGGCCAGTGAGACTTCCGCGACGATCGTACCCTGCTCAATTTTTAACTTCGATTATCAGGTTCAGCCTTAGACAGCGGGATTTACTCCACAGAGCCACGGATTTTGACTCCACTATGTACTGTCGCAAGCCCGCAAGTTTGGCAAAGAGAACCGCCTTTTATACAGAGAAGGAGACAATTCCAAAGCATTCGGTAAGTCCATGGGATTGGTATGTACTGTTACTACTGTTACTGATACCGTGTGTCGGGATGTAGGGAGCACTTTTACGCCCTCATGCATATGGTACCTTCTCTTATTATGCTTGGGGTTTGTCTGTGTTGATCACACTGCGTTCAGCATCAGTCTACAGGTCCTGGAGCCCGTCATAAGTCTGCGGTACGTTTGGGAACTATGTGAAACGTGCAAACATTTACTTACGATAGCAACAGAGTAGACAGAAGAAAGATAGAGCGATCAAATTCTTCTCAGACATGTTTGGTCTGCAGCCTCTGAGAAATTACGTGCGTACTCATCTTCTCATTACCTCATCCCGCTCATACCCACCATTGAATGTAGGTCGGAAAAATAACATTCTTCGAAAGGCTCTCCGGGATGATGACAACTACTGCGGAAGGTTGGCCCGTCACACTGGGTATTTTCGCCCATAAACTTACACTGCCGCTTTAGGGCATGGCTTACTAGCATCCTTATTTATGGGCAGCCGGCAATCCCGTGTCGCACAGGACCCGCGCCTTGAAGTTGTGTTACCTCTCTTGCGTGAGCGGTGCCAAATTCTTTGTGCAGAGGATGACGCCCCACCTCGGTATGCTGATGAAAAGCAGAAAGTGGACCGCGAGTTGGAGTCCATATCGCAGACTCTGAGTGCCTGTGTAAGTGTCGCTACCGGCGTGAAAGGGTTGGTGCTAATCCTAACCACAAAAAGCTACTCGATCACATAGATACCACCTTTTCCGATGCTTCGTTTTTCCATCGTTTAATGCCTCCCGGTTCTAGACAACCAGACCCAGAGAGCCGGATTGAATATGACAGGTCGGTACCATACCTATTACCATTCAGCAGTCCATGCCCTGAACGATATATGTAGGCAACTCGACTCTCGGTCCATGGTACAAGAGATAGATGTACTCCAAGCAAGACTCGATGAAGTAAGGGACGACGACGAACAACGAGCGTTAGAGGAGGATATCACAGGAAAGGCAAGGAAAGCATCAACTTGCTACCTTTTGATACTGATGGTCCTTTCATCAATAGATCCTGTGGTTCTGTTGGTGTGGGATCTGCGCAGAAGTGGACCAACTATTACCACAGGCAAGCCATCTCTCCCACTTCTATTTCCATATACGCCACTTGACATGGTTCAGGTTGTGAATTACATTCGGAGGGAAGGAAACATAGAAGTAAGTGGTATCACACGCTAGAACGTAGCAACGTCATCGCCGTCAGCAGGGATTACAGGAAATTTACTCGGCTATACGTTCATTAACCGACTCAGGTGATGATCAAGCTCACTTGCAACGGTAGGCGACATCATTTGGCATATGGCGTCGATGCAAATCACCGAATGTACAATGTTCTAGGATCATGTTTGATGCAGGGGCGGGTACATCGAAACATCAACTACTACTTGATGCTCGAGCTGCAGAGCAAGCCAAGTGGTCCGGTACATCCACTCCGAGGGACACCATCAGCAATGATTCCGAAGGTGCCACTCCGAGGACAAGCTCTCAAATTCCCTCTACATCAGTGGTCGAGTAGACATGGATCTTGGCGAGTATATTTTATCTGAATAAATTCACCCCATCGATGATGATCGCGATGCTATGAGGAATGTAGTAGTCAACACATACTCACTGGCTGGTGCCTCAAAGTAATGGGTGTCTTCGTCTAGTTAGGGTCAGGTTACCTTTTGCATCGCACCACAGCGCGGCATGATTATGCACGATTTTCAGAGGCTTCCTAGGACAAGATCGGATTTGCCAGGATGAACCATGTGTGGGTCGTCGATGTCCGAAGTTTATCCTCGATCATCACAGCGTGGATATAACTATCAGTTACCAGGCGGCATTTCCAGTGACAGCTTTGTCAGCAGTCCCCAAGCCAGCCACTGCAGCATCTTCCTCGGCACCTGTGATGGCTTTACCTGGCTGAGTCATTTCCTCGTCGCCCTCAGTACCCACGAATTCAGTGTAACTCTCGTCGAAAGCGTCACTGAAACCTTCGACATCGCAGGCGTCAACATTGAGCAGATCTACGACGAGATGGCTAGGGCCTGTGACAGGTAAGTCAGCGAAGTTTTGGAAGAAAGGATCGGTGCTCGTGGCAGCAGATGATACGCTCACAGCGGGTGTTGCCTGATGATTATGGGCTTTAGATCACTCACGGCACCGGGCTGACCGAGAGAGGGGCTCAGAAGACTTCCCTGTTTTTGTTTTATCTGAGTGTTGGTCACCAAAGGGGGATGCGCCGGGATGTCCACCAAAAGGTCCTCTTTCAAAACGACCCTTGCCTCTTTTCTCTCGTCACTCTAGGAAGCCATGCATAGTGTGTTCGTGTTGATGCCCAACCTTGCCGGCAGCCTCCCATAGCAAACTATGCAGTGTAACTGCTTCTGCGCCATTAAGTACTTGTCCACCCTCGATCTCCTCTTTACTTTGCAGATCTGTGTTGGTTCCAAGAACCTCTTCCCTAGTAGGTGCTGGGCCCACAATCACAGTGTGGGTGTTTGGACCAGGTTCATGGTAAGCAAAATGTGACTTCAAGGTAGTGGACTGGTTGTATGCCTCTTGGAACTGACAATACCCTGCAGGTATGTCAAGTGGGTCACCATTATTTCCTTGCAACACCCTATCATAGGTAAAGTAAGCTTTCATCTGCTCATGATGGACCAGCATGCACTGTTCTGCCTCCCCAAGACTGGCAGGAGCCCACACAGCAAAGAAGTCTGGGCCGATTTGCTCTACAGATAAGAAGCAGGTGGGGGTTGTCATGTCAGGTGAGTGGTGATCAGCAGTAGGTGGTTTGTCTATGTCCAGGCTGAGCAAGTTGCTAATGATGTCTGCTAGCATGTGTTGGAGTGTCTCTGAGGTGTCAGGATCTAAGTCTTGTGGATGTGTGGGTTGAGTTTCAAGCGGTGACTGGGGTGAGCAACCCTTCGACTTTCTTTTTGGGTAGGAGGTTGGTTTATGACTACCACAGGAGCATGCCAGACAATATATGTGAGCAATGGCTTTGGCCGAGTGTGCAGGGGGTTTACAATTAGCAAACTTTGGTTGCGACATGTGAGGAGGTCTATGATTGGTATGTTCACCAAACCACCCTTGATTCCTATGTGAGCTGACAGTGGGTGATCTAGGCTGTGTGTGGGCTCTGGCTCTCCCTTGCATGGATGGAGAGTAGCAATGATGTTGATGTGGCTGATGACTATGATGGTGAGGAGGTGAGCAGGAATGATGAGGCTGGGGTGTGTGACAAGGGTAGGCAGTATGAGGTGGAGGTGTGTGTTGTCAGGGATGGGTACAGTGATTTTGATTGGGGGTTTGTCTGACTGACCTGGGGACCTGGTGAGCAGACAGATTTCTATCATTGTGTGGGTGGTTTTTATAGGTTCCACTGGGGTGAGGTACCAAGTGTCCAAGGAACACCTGGGGGTCATCCTTGGATGATCCCCTGTCACCCTTATCTTGCAACTCATTTATCCTGTCTATCCCAAGGCCTTGAAATAATTGGCTAGTGCCTTTAGATGAGTGACCTCATCAAATGGTAACCATGTTTGGTCTCTGGCTGTCCATTGCACCTTGAATGTTGCCTCTGAGCAGCTGCCACAATGACTTATCTGGTTGACAGCCCATTCTCGGCTCGTTCCTCTGAGCTCAGGGATTTGATCATCCTTCTGCCCAGGGAACTTTTGATGATCATTTGGTATGTGCACTCTTAGCAATGATGAATGAAACACATCGTGAATGCCTCTTTGTTTCAGGTTATCAGGTAGTTCGACACAATAAGAATTATTCCTGAAGTCATCTGAAATGTGGTATGGCCCAATAAACTTTGGTACAAGTTTTCGTGATGTCCCCTTTGACAAGCTAATATTCTTTGTGGAGACATATACAAGGTCACCTGTAACAAAGGGACACACTCAGTGCTTTTTATTAGCGCCAACTGTCTGTTTCAATCATGCCTTCAGAATTGCATTGTGAGCGTCCAACAAGGTGAGTTTCATTTTATTGGCAAATGCTCATATGCTCGAGCACTCATCTCTTGTTGGAGTGTCTCATATCATCTGTCAGGGCATCCATCTGGTATTCAGGAAGAATGGTGTGTAGCCTGTTGACTCTGATGTCACATTATTGATTGTGAACTTGATGGCAGGTAGGTGTGACACCCAATCTTTCTGATTCAGCCTGATGCAGCATCTCAGCATCTGGGCAATGGTTCAATTGGCATGTTCAGTAGTGCCATCTGTTTCCAGATGGTATGCACTCGACATCTTCTGCTTAATCCCAATTAGTTCATTAAGGCATTTCCAGAATGTACTTGTGAATAAAACATTGCGATCACTAATGATTGCTTGAAGTAAGCCGTGATGTTTATACACTTCGGTGAACATTAATTCTGCTACTTTGTGGGCAGTGTATGTTGTTCGAATTGGCACAATATGTACCATGGATGTTAACAAGTCGATGATCACTGTTATCAAGTCATATTCACCATCATGATCTTTGGATTCAGGGAGTGGTCCCACAAAATCTACTCCAATTGCTTCCCAAGGCCTGGATGGTACAGAGAGTGGGTTCAGCAGTCCGAAGGGTTTATGAGTCAGCAGTTTGCTTTGTTGGCATGTCTGACATGATGTGCAGTATGTGGTGATGTCCTTTACCATAGAGTCCCACCATAAGAACTCTCATATGTAGGATACCATTTTTCTAGCACCTAGATGCACAAGTAGGGAATGAGCTTGATCAATGACCATTTCCCTTAGTCATTTATCATTTACTGCAATGTCCAGGACACAGAATACAACATGGTCTTGCAATCTTAATTGAATGAAACCATCTGGTGTGATTTCAAAGTTCTTGAATGCCTTTGGGGCATCCAGTATCTGTTTAAAGAATGGGTCTTTGCCATATCTGTTCTGTGCTTCCCTAAGTACGCCTTCATTTCCTGGGTACATGATGAGGGGCACAAGATTCATTTCTGTATTGCCTGCCATGCTTGTATCGCTTGTATCATCTAGTCCCTGCATGCTCGGCAATGAGCTCTGTGTGTCTGGCAATGTGTCTGTAGCATGTTCAGGGGGTGGTCCACTACCCTTCCCCCCCTTCTTTCATTCACCTGGTCCAAGAAGAACAAAATGATCCTTCATTCATCATGCAAACTCAATTCTGGTCTCTGGTCGACCAGTCTCAGCTGGGGGTGTAAGAGCACAGCATCACTGTACAGGTCCCTTTCCTGTTCCCTCTGGCTGATCCTTAGCAGGAACTTTTATCTCGCCACCCTCATCCTCAGGCAGATTTGGGTCTATTGTTGGCATGGAATGTTGCTTCATGATCACCAGTGTGGGAGGTCTCCTTGGAGGATTTAGCACCAGCTTCCATTGGCGAGCTGATGGTTGCTCCATCAGCAAAGGCCCAACAGGGGCATCAGTTTGTGCATGAGCCCTGGTAGACATTGCAAGTGCTTCAATGCCTATGTACAAAGGTGAGCTTATTATCTGCTGCTTCTCCTTTGGTGGTACTGTCTCCTCGATGTCCAGGTCATGATGCAGATATTCGCTATGTGCACGGATTGTCCCAGGGGCATCAAACTCATACATTCGGGAAAGAGCATCTGGAAGAACATTCTCCTCTCCTGGTATGTACCTGATTCCAAAGTCAAATTCAGCTAACTTCTGCAACCATCACACCTGTCACCCAGACAAGTCTTTCTGATCCAACAGATATGTCAGGCTTTTGTGGTCAGTTACCCAAGTGAAATGTATGCCTTGGAGGATGTCCCAGTGCTGCAACATTGTTTCCACTCCTGCAAGGAGTTCCTGTTCATGGACTGGATAGTTGCGCTAAGCTGAAGACATCTTTGCAGAGTAGAACGTGGCAACTTTGGCTGACTTCCAATCCACTCCTTGTGCTACAATGTTGCCAATGCCATTCCCACAAGCATCGGTCATTACCCAGACAGGATTGTGGTCTGGTCTGTAATCAAGGGGTATGTGACAGTGTTGTGTGCAAGTGGCAACATATCACTTTACAGTTTCAAAGGCCCATTGCTCAGTGAACGTCCATCGAAAGGGGTGAGTCTCTGTGCTTGCTTTGGTGAGCACCCCTAGAGGTATGTGGACTTTGTAGATATCATCTGTGAGGTAACCAACTGACCCAATGAATCCTTTACACAGTGTATGATTCATTGGAACCTTCCAGTTGAGGATGTGGTCAACTTTATCAGGATCCATCTTTATCCCATCATCAGTGACCACATGGCCCAGGATTTTTACCTCTTTGGTCAGAAACTTGAGCTTCTTTTCACTCAGGTATAGCTTTTCTTGGGTGAGTATTTCCAACACAGTCTTGACATGTCAGACATGCTCTTCTAACGTGTCTGAATAGATGATAATGTCATCAAGGTACATGTCCATGAAGGAGCCAATATACTCCCTGAAAATGTGATTCATCAGGGCTTGGT